AAATGAAAATTAATTTATAAATAAATATTTTTTAAAATATTATATTTTAAAATATTCTCTTTGTATATTTATACCTTAAAATGTTTTTTTTATAAACACTTATATATAAATCATTGTACATATAACATTAATCAATAAGGTAATAAATTTTTTTTCAAATATTTCTTCTCTTTTTCTATTTCTAACACTGTCAACCTTTTGTTTTGTTTCTTTAAAAATTAGTGTGAGTATTAGATCAAATAGTGATTTGAAAATTTCTCCACTGCACTCAAAGTGACTAGGCGGAATATTTATTGCGAGAAAGCATCAAAATCAAATAAGCATATCAGCTTCTCTATTATGCAGTTGAGGAATTTTTTTTTTTTTTAGAACAACAAATAACGAAACTGTCAATCTTTCCAACCAATGATATCCAAAATTCACTTTTTGTATATCCGAAAGCAATTAATGGTCTCGATTCTGCAAGTTAGGCACGAAAGGTATTGTCATTCATACGTCGTTCATTTGGTGGGGAGGGCAGAGATTTATTATGTTCGGCAAAGTTCTTCTAATGGTAACACAGACATACATTTTGCTGTTAAAATGGGTTTTCCTAACTTTCTGTGGTCCAACACGTCCTCATGAACCAAATCCAAGTCCTTTCTGCTTACTATTTGCAAACCAAATTCTTGCAAACTCGTGAGTCTTAATTATTCATATTTCTGTTTTTGTTCTTTTTCGTCCAACAAGAGGGAAACTCCAATTTCAGCTCTAGAATACATGGCATTAAATAGACAAGAGGAAAAAGATCGAGTTCAACTTCCGTATGGAGATGGAGCTACGATAAAGAGAGTGTATTATGACAAAAGACATGTCCTATATAATTTATATGAGTAATTCATTTCCCTCACGTAACCAAACACTACCATTCGGTTAGTATTTTCTAGGAATGAATGATCGCATGAATTCTAAAGAACTCCGACTCAGAGATATTTACTTGATGAAAATATAATTTTATTTGACAATAATTTCTTTTTAAATAAAAGACGGGATCTCAAATTTACATAGTAAAAAAAGGATATATCTCTCAATTACCTTTTAATATAATTCATCGGCTTTGAAAATTTTCAACAATAATAACTAAATCAATGCAGTATAGTTTAGGATTTTGAATTTTTGATTAGCTTATGGGAAGGTGAAAGGAACCAGAGCTAGGGGTGGGTAAAATCGGTTTTGGTTTAAAATTGAAACCGATTTTGAATTAATTAAAAAGATTTGGTTTTAATTTTGTGAACCGAAATTAAACCGAAATTGTTATAAGTTAATCGGTT